GAACGGCACCACCGCCCTCTACGCGTTGGCGTCGGGAAGTGATGTTCTTTCGGCAGTAGAGTCGACGAGTGGCGTGCACCGTTCGATTTTGACAACCGGCGTTGGCGTTTCGTGCGCCATTATCGTCGCCGCCCTCGGCCTCGTTGTGGTTGGCCACCGTGGCGGCATCAGCGTGACGCCTGTGGCCGAGGCCACCACATGCCCCATTGCCTGTTTGCGTCTCACGGACACGCCAATGAGGAGAAAACCGGACAGGAAAAAGGGTGAAAATGTCGCCGCGTCGGACCAGCCGCGAGCCCCCACACAACACCTCAGGACAACGACAAAAACGACTGTAACCCCATCAACAAGCACAACGACGAATATACATCGGGGCCAACGACGACCACCCACTTATCCCAATATGCAGTCGGAAGAAAAGGGTCACTGTCGTCCATCACCGCCGCTTGACCTTGTCGCGCTGCTCACTGGACCTCTTTTACAAGATCCAGTGACTCTCACACGAGAATTTATGCAGCAACGAGAACGGTATCTTTTCTACAATGATCGGCCGAAAACGTCATTCACGGGAACATCATTGGGATCCCGAACAGAGAGCAACGCCACTAGCACTGAGAATGAGGAAGAAGAAAGGAATAGTAGAGATGCCGGATTACCGCCGTTGTTGCTCTTTTCGGATGAGTTTATTGCCGCCTCTTCTGTCTTTACTGGAAACTTTGGTGTCTTACTTCGAGAGCAGCTTACTGCCCTTGGATACGTTGGACAAATTGTGCCTATTAGAGAAACTGGGTATGCCGTGAGTGGTGGAGACGATGGTGTTGTACAGTTTTGGAATCTGCGCACCTTGTCGGAGGTGATGCGTTACCGTGTCACATACACTCTTGAGGCGGTAACAGCGATGGAAGTTAGCGATGATGGTTTTCACCTTGCTGTGGGTGACGCAAGTGGGTATATTTTATTAATTGACATGCATCTTATTGCGTGGGATTCGGCGGTACCTCTTGAGATGGTTTCAGGCATTGAAAGGGACGTTTGTGTTTTGCGGCGATGGCGAGGGCATCGACAGAGTGCCACATCTGTACGGTTTGTGCGGCAGACGGAGGGCATGATACATCTGAGTACCGTGCACTCCCACACAGCAAAAAAGAATGCACCCTTGCGGCGACCTCCTCGCCAGGGTCTGGAGTCTGATGTTGCTGCAGCGGACGATAATAATAAGATTGAAATTAAAACCGATTCCAACCAGAGCAGCAAACAAGAGGCCATTTTTCTTTGCACTAGTGGTGAGGACAGCTACATCTACACGTGGTGTTGGGAGGCCCGGCCGTCTATGGGGGGTTCTGTGCATTGCATCGGTTGTTTTGGCGGGGGTGTGGAGGCACCACTAAAGCCACCGGTTGATAAACTGACGGATGCGGCGTGGCAAGTGCTGGAGTTGGTGCGGAAGGTCTACATTGAGGAGCGCCTACTGTCTCCTGGTGGCGCACTCAGTGGGACAAAGATGCAGGTGGAAATTCACACCGCGGTGCTTGAACTCATGGAGGACATGCGGGTAGTTAAATCGGGTGCTCTGTTGCCACGGCTTGGCGCAGTACCTCGGGAGCGGCAGTCGCAGTCATTCCCATCTCATTTGAGGACACGAAATTACAGTCGCGTGCCGCACTCGGACTCTGTGCAGTTTGCTGCCGAACGCTGTCCCCCCACGTATGTTTTAGCCTTTGAAGAAGGGTTGTACTACGACCGTGGTATTGTGGAGTTGCTTGAGCGCATGGTCACGGAAATTCGGGCTGTACAGAAGAGGCAGCAGTCAGTTACAAACGTGGCTAGTTGCCGTGTGAGCCTTGTGGAACCGAGGCGCTCGCGAAAGTCGCTACAAACGCCTCCGAACATGTTTTTGGATAAAAATACGGCGTCCGATGAAACACGTTCTGCCTTGACGTTTTTAAGCTTGCCAGATAAAACAACTGGTGTAAATGCTACGGTTACAGCCACGTCGGTCGGCAATGCAGCAAATTATTCTATGCGTCGGAGCACGGATACCCGTGGACTCTCTTTGACGGGACCTTTACTATTTGTCTCACAGACGTCTCCGCCGGAATCATATCCGAGGAGCGATTTTGGTAAAAACGGGTCTGTGGGCGGGGGCGGGGGCGGTAGTAACACGGATGGATCTCGTGCGGCGAGAAGTGGCATGGGTGGTTTCTCTTTCCCTTTTTCGGTTACCTCCACCGTGGCGCAGTTCAGCATGTCACCAACCATTACGTCCCCGGAACCCCTTGTGGTACGCTCTGTTCCATCGTTGGGTACGCCGCAACAGAATTCTCCATTGTTTCAGATGAATGAAGGGGACTGGTCTCCTTTGCCTCCTGTGACTGTAGGCTTTAAGAAGCCATCGCCGCTCCCACGCCCACGTTTTACCGGCACGAAGGGCGCGGAAAATGGTGGAGGCCGTAGCACGACATTGAATAGCCTTCCATTGACCGCAGACATCGTTGGCATAACCAAAACCAAGGGCGACGACGCGAAGCGACGATACCGCGGAGTCAAAGTCCTTTTGCGTGAGAAGGCAAGACGCCGCTCACATAATTTATTGTTTGTGGACAACGTGAAGAAAAGACTGTCGTTACAGGAGGCAGACGATGTAACAAGTGGAAATACGGAAGATCGCAGGGCTGCACGGCGGGAGCGGAAACGACGCTCCACGATTTGGGAAGCGGCACGCATCATGAATACACTTATGGCGTGGAAAGCGCCGCGGGAGTCAAATCGGTCATCGATAATGTCCGGAGTAGGCCCAGAAGGCGGCTTGGCTGAATGCGCCCCATTCACCGACCCTGTGAAGGCGCCGAACTTCAAGTTTCCGATGTTTATTCCACTCACTTTGGGGACCTCGCATGCAATGACCTCCAGGAGCAGTCTGCAGTTGGATTCAAGCATGAGCGTGAGCGCGTTGCTGAAAACGGAGATGTTGGCGATGAATGCGACCCTGCAGGCAGCGCTGCATGAAAAGCAAGTATTAATGGCACAAGAACGTGCGGCAGCGGCTGGAAACACGACTCCTCCTCAGACACATTTTGGCACCAGGTAAACAGGCACTTGCCGCCACAACCATTTTCTTTGTTGTTACTATTCATTTAATCTTCTCACTCCTTCTTTTTTTTTTTTTTGGCGTCAATATCCTTTTATTTTGGTGCCACAGCCGCAAAGAAGCAAACATGTATATGTCATTCGTGTTCCCCATTGTGCCGTGCAGTCGCATCATCATCCACTCATCCCTTCCACACGGTTGTTTGTCTCTCTATCTATCTATCTATCTATCTCTGTGTGTCTGTCTGTGTGTTTTTGCTGGAGAGGTTGTATGAAAAGGCTTTCCTCCCGTTTTTGTGTGTTTTCTATGGTTTCCAGTTTGAAAAAAAAAAAAAAATAATAAGACAGCCGTTTTGTTGTTGTTGTTGTTGTTCCCCCCATTTCCTTTACTTCTTTACAAGTGTGTACATGGCAACATGTATTTATGTCATGGGATGGACGGGTGGCCTGTTGGTGGGGGTCTCACATCTTCTTTTTTTTTCTTTTTTTCTTCTTTCTGTATATGTATGTAATGTTTGTATGTAATGTATGTTTTTTGACAATACATCTTTTCAATAGTTGTAATTTTATTGTGGCTTGTTATTTACCTTTCTTTTCTTTTCTCTTTTCTCTCCCCTCTTCCCTTCTCTCCCCCCCCAATCTCATTATTTTTCAATTTCTCTTTCTTCCCGAATATGTGACCGGTATTTGTGCACCAATACATATGGATATGTTATATCGTGTATGCATGTAATTTTGGATTGCCTCTGGTTTTTCGTTGTTTTTTTTCTCCCACTGTTGTGGAATAGCGCTACACAACGCCGCAAGGCACACTTGCACATTCACTACGTCCAAAGGAGGAGGAAGAAGAAGAAGAAAGACAAAAAGAAAAAAAAAAAAAGAAAGAAGGAAGGGGAATTGTATACAGAGAAATAAATAAATATACATTTATCAATGAATCGATTGTTTGGTAAAAAAAATAAAACTCCGAAGCCGACACTGGAGGATGCCAGCGTTCGTCTTAATACACGTAGTGAGGCCGTTGATGCCAGGGTGAACAAAATTGATGCAGAGCTTATGAAATTGAAAGATGCAATTCTTAAGACAAGTGGGACAACCCAAATGCGGTATAAGCAGCGCGCCATGCAGCTGCTACAGCAGAAGCGCCTGTACCAAAACCAGCAAGATATGATGATGCAGCAACAGTTTAACATGGACCAACTCCAATTTACGACGGAGTCGGTTAAGGACACCAAAGTGCAGTTGGACGCCCTGAAGGAGGCGACGAAGGGTCTTAAGCGGGAGTTTAAGCGGGTGGATTTGTCAAAGATTGATAATATGCAGGAGGAATTGCGTGATCTGTACGAAGACACACAGGAGGTTCAGGAGATCTTGGGCCGCGCCTACGATGTGCCGGAGGACATTGACGAGGACGAGATGATGGGGGAGTTGGACGCACTTGCATTTGACATGGAAAAGGAACCGGACCCGAGTTACCTTGCCGATGCCCTCGCCACACCGGGCACAAAGTTGCCGGAAATACCCGGAAAAGAGAAGCCGCAGAATGAAAATGAAGAAACAGTCGACCCGTATAGTCTGGAGACACAGTTGGGTTTGTAACAGAAGGAAAAGAGAAGAAAATGCGGGTGAAGACAGTTGGAAGTTTTTTTTAATTGTTGTTGTTGTTGTTTGTGTGTGTGTCTCTGTGTGATTGGGAAAAGAGGGGAGTGAGAAGTGACGTTTGCAATTCCCACCGATACTGCTAGCCAATGTTACATTACTGCTGCTGATTATGCATAAGGGGTGATGATATATTCTGCCGTTATTTCTTTTCTTTCTTTGCTAGTGTTGTCATTGCGGCTTTTTTTGTTTGTTTGTTTGTTTGTGCTTCTCTCTTTCTCTCTCTCTCTCTGTGTGTGTGTGTGTATGTTTGCATGGCGTGGGGCATAATGTGTCTTTTTTTTCATTATTTTCGTTTCTTTTCTTATGTGGGTAATGACAGACAGAGGAAGCGGGGAAGCTGTCTCCAGGGAAGGAAGGAAGGAAGTCCGCCACAGCAGAAACGTATATACATTACCGAGAGACATATAAAGCACGAAAGGGACGAGGGGAGGGTAACGACGATGGTGGCGAAGGAGAAGCGACGGTCGTGGTACCCCATTCTTGCCAAGCGCCGTAAAATGAAAATGGCGGCGGAAGCAACGAAAATTCCTTCACATCGAACTGACATTTGTGCCGACACGAAAAGGGCAGAGGTAGCTGAAAGGATTATAAGGAAGAGGAAAAATTCCCGTTCGTCACCTCTTTCTGTGGCAAGAAAAAAAGACGTTGATACAGCACGAACAGACGATGACGCCCACGGTACCGCCACACACGATAGGAAGATGTGTAAAGTGGCATCTTCAACATTCCCTGCGGGATTATTTCTTCACGCCACGGAGTATTGCCCGCCGCGGCCTGCGCGTTGGTATCATCTTGGCCTCCCGCTACTTGCTACACGTGTGCGGGAGTTGTTATTTGGACGCCCGCTGATGATTAGTCATCCCACTGCCGCCTTGACGGGTGTCTCTCTCTCTGACGAGGAGGCTCTTTCCTGGCTTTTCCCCGCCGTGCAAAACGGGGAGTGGTTCACCACACCGTGGGAGTTTATTGATCACTGCCAATCGATCTCACATAAGTTGTTGTGCGAGAATGCTCCACTCATTCCACTCGTTGCTTTCCGAATCAGGGGGAAATGCTCCCCTTCGCCTCCTGCAGATGGGAAAACGGAGAGGGCGGTGGTGGCGGTGATGGATCACTTGGGTGAAAGCGAAAAAGGGGAGGGGGAAAACGGCGGGGCAGTTTCAATGTGCGCAGACAACGTGCGGGATGTCTATTACTTGTGGTTTATGTACATTCACATCAGCCTAGTGAAGTTTGGTGAGCACGACTGGATCGTCTTTCTGAAATGGAAGGGAAAGGTGGTCAAAGCCACGGATCAGGAATGCGTAGGGCGAGTGTGGAGTTGTTATCGTGTGTTTCAAACCAATGTTGCGAACGCTGTGGCGAGGCAGTTGGCATCATCCTCGCAACTTGTATGGCAGTCCTTGCCTGAAACTGCCCTAGCCATGGCGTGCACCGTCCTGGATGTCTACTTGCGTCTGCTCCTTGATACGGCACCTCTACAGGGTCTCAGGGACGACTTAACACAAGAAGCGTCTACGCGTGCTTCATATAATCATTTGGAACATCTTATGTGGATGAACGATGATCCCACAAAGGACGCCCATGCCGCAGCTGGGATGGCGTTAGCAAAGGATGGGGCATCGTTGACCGCGCCTGAAAAAGAGGCGATTATATCTCTATCTGTGTATTTGGCAAAAATCATTACAGATATGCGTCATGCAGACGGAGATGTTTTCCCACGTGCAACTGATGATGTCAATTCAATGATTCTCGAGCCACCGCTACTTTCATCGTTGGGTGATCCTGCGGCAGAAATTCCTTTTCCGCATTTGATTTGGCCTGTGGATGACAATGAGGAGGAGGAAAAAATTATGGCGCTTGTTCTGTGGCTGTATCTTTCTGACGCCGCGGAACACACAGACACACAAACAGAGACTTACAGAGAGAGAGAGAGAGAGAGAGAGAGAGAGAGATGCGCGGAGGTCTAACGGAGAGAACCATAAGGAATAAATGATGGCATGTCATTTATTTTACTGCGGGAATGTATTGCCATTTCCCGATGTGACACCCAGTATTTATTTAGATGCATACATGCATACATTTTAAGGCGCTGTGCCGCATCTGGTTTTGCTTGTCTTTTTTTTTGTTTTTTTTTTTCTGTCCCATGCATATTTAACTGAAACATCTTTTTTGTCTTTTGTTGTATGGTATTTTGCTCCGTATGACACTTTTAAGTTTTGTTTATTTTGGTAATATACGCCCTTGGACGCACACACACACAGACAGGGGGAGAGAGAGAGAGAGAGACTGACTTGGTATTGGTTTGTTGTATTTGCATGCAATGGTGGGTGTTAAGAGAGTGCCGGAATGGGGGGAATATATATATATATTTGCTGAATAATGCGAATGACATCTCTTTCTCTTCATTATTATCCCTCTCACGTTTTTCTCTCTCCACCAACGCCAGAAACAGAAGGAAGCAAGCAGCGGAAGTCGCCAAAAAGGAAAAAAAAAAAAAAAAACAAAGATGGTGAAGCCGCATCTTCGTCACTACTGCGTCGTGGGCCGCGAGACGCCCTCGGAGAAGAACCCCGCGCCGACAGTATACAAGTTTGAGGTGTTTGCCCCCAACTTTGTTGTCGCCAAGAGCCGCTTCTGGCGCATGATGCGGGAGAAGAATAAGGTGAAGTCCACCCACGGTGATGTGCTCTCGTGCAAGGTCGTGAAGGACCGCAAGCTGGTCGCACGCAACTACAGTGTCGACATTGCGTACTACAGCCAGCGCTGCGGCTACACGCACATGGTGAAGGAGTTCCGCGATGTCTCCAAGGCCGGCGCGGTGAGCCAGGCGTACCACGACCTCGCCTCTCGTCACCGTGCGCGGTACCACAACATTGAGGTGCTGGGCGTGAAGAGCATTCCGAACCACCAGGTGAAGCGTCTCAGCATTTCGGAGTACCACGCCAGCAATCTCTCCTTCCCGCTCCTGCACCGCCGCGTCAAGGCACCACGCAAAGACCGCGTCGTCTTTGTCAAGAAGAACACGAAGCGCGCCGTCGTTGCGTAGACGTCTGTTCTCTTGGAAGAAGGGGGAAAGAAAAAAGGAAGAATGAAAAGGAGGGAATCTTTCTGGAGGGGCTTATCTCACACTGTTTTCTCTTGCCCTCCTTCCTTCTCTTTGCTTTCTTTTCTTTTTTCTTTTCTTTTTCTCTTTTTCAGCACCACCGCTTCTTTATTTATTTCTTGCGTTGGGTTGCGACTCAAAGGCTTGTTGAAGTACTTCGTTTCATTTTATTTTATTTTATTTTTCTTTGCGTCTTTTTTGGTTCAGGTCGCATTTAATTTACTTTTCACAATGGCATCCCCGCATGCCGACGTTCCCCTGTGCATGTGTGTGTTGACATCCCTCACACAGGTGGTTGTGGGGGTGAGAAGACATGTGCCTGTTTTTGTAATTTATGATGCCGCCTTTTATTTCTTTTTTTTTTTTTTTTTTTTTTTTGGTTGTTGCTGCTTTTGTCGGATCCGCAAGATACAAGGAGTGGAAGGGGGCAGTGGGTTTTTTTCCTTCTGCAGGAAAACCTTCCCCGTCTTTTTCTTTGTGTGTGTGTATGTAAGTATATAAATATATATTAAGATAGTTCCAGTGCAACAAAGAGCGAGGACTGAGGGCAGGGGAATAAAAAGAAAGAAGGCGGGTTGTTTGCATCCCCACATCGCCAAAAAATACTTTTTTTCCCCCACTCGCTCCGGAGAGAAAATACACCCGTACGTCGTTTATTGCGCGGCGATGTTTGTAGAAAAGGTGGGAAGGGGAGTGAAAAATTGTCATCTCATTGTACTATGCAGCGATAGTCCTATCTTTGATCTACGCACGCTGCGTACCATCATTTCTCATGCTGTTGCACTCGCATCGCCTTTGCCTCCTCCTCTTCATTCAGATGGTGCATCCGTGACGTTGTTGCCATCGACTGCGGCGGAGGACTATGACGCGGAGAGCTGTCTCTCAAATGCCGTGTTCTCGGCAATACAGGGAAGCACCCGTCGGCATTCCTTTTCCAGTACGTGCAATGGCACCATTACGCCGTTGAACACTGCCACGGGCGGAAAAGGCGGTAAAGCAACAAAGGGTGCCAAGAAATCTGCAGCCGTGGCGGCATCAACGAGTCGGGTGGCCACTCCCACAGAAGGAAAGAGCATTGGGACAAATGTTACCGGCCGGCCGCGTGCGGAGTGGTACAGTGTTGTGGAGAGTCGTCAGTGGGGAGTTCCAGTTGTGTTTATCCACCAACTGCCAGAATTGGACCGATCTGAGGGGGAAGGTGGTGCACTGACACCGGCGGGCCAGGGAGCCGGCACCTCTGATTTCTGCACGCTGTTGCATAGGGCTTTGCAAATCATTGCCGAGGACATGAATGCCGCTGTGAGCCTTCATGAAGACGCCCCAGCGGGGTTGTTATCACTGGACGACACCAATCTGAGTGAGATGCAGCACGAGGCATTATCCGGAGAGCAGCCTCATGTGCACGCGAAGGAAATTCCTGTTGTAATGGCGTTGCAGGATCCCCGAGTATTACCAGGGTTGCTAAATTGCAGAACAGCGTTGACCCATCCTATTGATACACGTCTCATAGTGAATTTTGTTGATGGAAGACTCAATGAATTATTGGGGACGTCTAATCACGGTAGCTCAAGCACTCGTTCCCGCACAAGTGCAGCTGGTAGACGCCAAAACCCCCGTGATATTTCTTCGTCCACGCTCCAAAAAAATAGCAAAGATGCGGATGGGACCTGTGCTCCCAGTGATTCTAACAACACACTCGATGCATGGATTGAACGGCAACAACGGGAGGGCATGATAACAGTAACGACATCTCCCACAGGGGCCCCCAATGCATGTGGTGCGATTTGTCTCCGTGAGATATTTGAAGAGGGCGGGGAGGATAAACGTGTGTGGGTACAACACTGCGTACAAAAGGTGTTGCCAGCGATGCATCACGTTATACGCGATATCACACGGTACGGTGAGTGGGTTTCTTCCAAGACGGTGTATTCTATTCCCATCACCTTGACCACACCACGGCCACTTATGCAGCCACAAACGAAAGAGGAAGGATTCCCCACCATGAGCGAGTCTGCCGTGGAATCATCAGCGATGCTGCGATTAAGAAAATCACAAACAACGGCTCCACCATCTTCTTTTTCTCCCACGACGTCGACGAGGACGGGAGGTGTCGATGAGGACACTTTTCAGTTTCCTCCGCTAAGCGGAGATTTCTCGCTCTCTTTTTCTGCCACAAAACGGCTTTTAGATGGCGAAGAGGAAAAGTGGTCATATTACGTTCGAGAGAGAAAAGTTCGTGGGCAATGGACCTGCATTTCTGCTGCCCGCGCCCTCGCTACGCAGGTGACCGTTTCATTGGCAAGACAGCAACGGCCTAGGGTGGTCTGTCCTGCGCGGGATGAGGAAAACTGCCCGTTACTGGATGTAATGAATGAACGTAATGAGACTTGTGCAGCGGACAAAATGAAAGAGAATGCTGTTGCCTCTCTGTTGTTACAGCTCCGTCAATACGCCTCACGCCGCACGGTGTTGTCGACGTTGGATACGGATATTTCTACTGATATGGCTGCTGGAAAAGGTAGGGAACCGAGTGTCGTTGCAGAAACTCCAGGCGGTTCGCAACTACTGGAGAATTCCACAGCTGGTGAGAAGAGCCAGAGTCAGTTTAACGCAATGGCAACGCTGCCCATGGATCACACAATGGACCGCCCAACACACCCACCGAGTCCGGAGGAGATCCGATGGGTAACGCGACAATTCATTAAAAAGGGAATTGGCGCCTTTCTCTTTCCGCCCGAAGAATCTTTGAGGGACGATCCCCCATCCATGCTTTCCCCTGATCAATTAAAATCTGCGATAAAAATGCAGGAATTACTTGAGGAGACCTTGAATGGACATACATTGAACGATGGTGAAGATGCGATGGACAGTCAATTATTACACCTTATTGAAGAGGACTTTAAACGCGCCGAGAAGGAAGTTTCATGTGAATGGTCTCACGTGTGGGATAATATTGCTTTCCCTGTGGGTCTCATGAACTTCGATGAGAAGTTAAGACGTTCTCTTGAGCGTAGTTTGACAACACGGGAGCGAACGCACATTTTACAGCAGGTTTATCTTTTGCAGTTAGCTATGCAGTCGTGTATGACAGGTACAGCTGCCCCTACCAATACTGTTGTTCTGCCAAATCACGGTAATTGTAATTTATTGACGCACTCAAGCATACCGAAGGATGAGGCGGTTGGTTTTAACTTGCGGTCTGTAGAGGAATGTATGACGATGGCAGTGGCGATACGTCGTTTGTATGAGTTTCAATCTCGTTTCGGTTTCCATATTTGTCGTTTGATACGTTGTTTCATACCAGACACGTTGGAAACGTTGGGTGGGAATGTGACCGCCATGTATTCCAGACATGCGGAGAATGTGCATCCAACGAATCGGGTGCGGGCGATGATGTTGGGAGGTGTGCCCATCCCACGCAAGCGGCAACTGCGGCAAGTGTGGTGCTACTACGTTAGTGGTATTCCATCCGTTGATGTGTTGAATGAACTCCATGAATCCCAACGGGTGACGACATCCTCCTATCCAGAGAGTTCGTCTGCTGCCCCTGTTGGTATCACCACAAGGAACACGACGTCGACCTCCTTTGGGGGCGTCATTGGGGATTTACTCCGTCAAAAGCTCCTTCAGAACCTGCAGGAATCAACGCAGTTGTTATCTTTGCCTGCAGAAAATAAAGTAAAAGTGAAAGGTGTATGTTGCTCTGAAGGGGAATTGCACACAGCACTGGAGGGACGTCATATCTTGTATCCCTGTGAAAACAGTATTGTTGAGGTTGTCACAACCGATCGAAGTCGCATCTGCCGCTACGTGAAGAGCAGTGAGTTGACATGTACGCTACAGTATTGCATCCCGCCATCACCACAACTAAACACGAATACTGGCGGCGCCGATCCTGCCACGGCATTCCCTTCTTCTTTGCCTTCGACGCTACGCAAACGGCCACGTGATGCAAGTGCCCACTTCACGACCACGTTTGATGACGGTGTGGTCTTCACCTGCACCCCGCAGTGGACAACACGTGCGGAACACGAGGGTCCCGGCGGTGCAGGTGAAGGGGAAAATATCGCAAACGCCAGTTCGGCCTCTTTGAAAAGTGGAGTCTCACGACGCAGTAAAGCAATGAGCAAAGCCGGTAGAAGAAGTGTGAACGTCTCCGTGGTGTTGGCAGGCGGTGGCCAACCGAGCGGAAGACGAGGACCCCTCTTGGGGAGGCAAAGACGACGTAGTCGTGAAGATGGTGAGGCGTTTGCCGCGGCGTCCGAGAGATCCGCTCGTACGGACCATTTACCCCGCATTTTTCCCGTTGCTCAGGATGGATCTGTTTGCTTGTGGACGGCGGGCCCTGAGAACATCCCGGGCAATGAAGCGGCGAATGGGAGTGTATCCGCAACGCCGAAGGCAGAGTTTGGCACGATCCCCAATTTGGCGATTACTGTGGCGGCAAATGGTGTGACGGTGCACTGCGAGGAGCAGGAAGGGATTTTGTGGTTTACGCAGCATGAGTCCAGCAATTCTCTGGTGCCGGAACTGCTACGCTGTATGCACGTGTATGATGCGAATGCGACATGGCATGAGACGATGGAAGTGGAGGTGCGTCGTGCCGTTTTGGAAGAATTGGGGGCAGTTTGCCGCTACTTCCACTCTGGTGTCACGCAGATGATTTACCCAGATGGTGCGGTTGTCACGCGGTACCCCATGCCAACTAGCAATTTGGGTGGCGCTCAAGACTTCTGCGAGACACTCGTTACGGCAACAGGAGCCTGCTACGTGCGTCAATTCCGTGGGGGATTTTTCGATCCGTTTCTAAATGCCAAAAGAAACAACCTAAAGATGCATGTGGCGTATGACCGTGGCAATCACTGCCGAGTTGTATCTCGAGCAGATGGCGTCATTATAGCGTTTTATTATTTTCACCGCAACTCTCACGAGTCAAGAAAAAGTCAAGGAGGAGGCGGTAGAAATATGAACCGTGAAAATGGCACGAAGGAACATCATTCTGAAGAGGAAGTTGATGCTTATGATAATTATGATAGTGATGCGTGTGTGTGGGGTAACTTCAAACATCCTGCATTTGATACAAACGTCATTGCCCGCGTTACTTTACATGCGGATAGCACGTGTATCACGACCTTTTCAAGTCGAGCGACGCAAGAGACATGGGAAAACCCGCCAAGACCTTTGAAAACCTTGTTGGAGCATGTAAGTTTAGTTGGCAGGGCATGTAGTGGCACTGTACAGTATTGTGTTGAGGCTCCATCGTTGCCTCGTGTATTTGTGTGCGTCCCAATGTACAGTGATAATTGGAGCTTCTCGGAGGAACAGCAAGGTGTATCGATTCCGGGCACATTTGACGCGGATTCATCGCTTGGGGCTCCCAATAACTCGTTTTTGAGTAAATGCAGCAGTGCGAGGGCAGCCGATGTTCACCCCTCATCTCTTCTGGCGAGTCCCGTGCCTTTACCTGCCTCTGGTGTAAAGGAACGTTTTTCTCCCGTCTCCCCACGATGTAAGCCGTATGACAGTTTTTACATTGTGTTTGGTGATGGCTCCGTGCTGCGGCGACGCGTCTTGTACCGCGGGGTGCGTGGGACCGTTACTTCATTTTTAGAAACGCTCTTTGCGCGTTCCACCTCAACATCCATCCGTGTGATTCATGAGTCTGGACTGGCCATTGTGGAACCGTTTGAGGCGCTGCGCCACAACATGGAGGCAGTGGCATCCCTTGCGATTGGTGAGGGTTTGGCAATGTTCGACATTGCGTTGGGCGGGTTGCGGCTGGTCGACCATCAACATCACCTGACGGAGGTACATGGTCTGTACTCACCGGGTCCGGTGAGTGCGGGGATTAAATCCACCACGCTTGAATTTCTCCTACGTCAGCTCGTGTTACCTACATACACACCCCATACTGTCACCAAGACACGACAGGAGGAGATGCGGCAAGATGAAAAGGTGGCAGATGCAGAGAGCCGGGCGAATCGTGCCAAGGGTATATGTCCCCCGTTGGCAACTCGTCTGCGAGAACTTGCCGAGGGTTTTGTCATTGAGCACAATCTTCTTCGCACCGATATTCTTAACACGGCCACGCGCCAATGGGAAGGCGGCAATTTGGAGACAATCAATAAAAAATCTATGCAGGACGTCACGTCGGGAGCATCGTGGGGCAAACTTACGACGCAAGTGGGAAAGTGCGGCTCCGCGGCGCTAAAGGCCCTTGAGTCGCCTGCCGTGCCTGCGACAATTACTCGAACCGTTGGTGTGTTGCCTATTTTATTTTCCGAGTTCGAGAACGATGTTGTGGTGCAGTACATTCATCAGCATGATGTGGAGAACTACATGCATGCGAAGGAGTCAGAGCCCATCCCTGTCTTTCTGTCGCACAGCACCGCAGCGGGGGAACCCGGAGTGCAGCAGTTGACGTTCTTTCGTGCAGAGGCGAATTCAGGAACCGCAGATGCGCCAATCGCAAGAGAACCCACATCGCGATTTTTTCTAATGAGCCGTTCATTTTCGGGTCAGTTGTGCAGCTCCAGCGGTTTACCGATCGGGCAAGGCGGTGCGGTAGGGACGGGATCTCTTTTGAGTGAGGCCGTGCAGCGGCAGGAGAAACTTTCCTTCTTTTTAGGGAGACGACTGGTGTTTCCAACGACGCAGTGGCTTCCACCAGCGATGCAGCCACCCCGCCGTTTTTTGAAGCCACTCTTCGATCCCGAGGTGAATGACAAGCGTGCCGGCATTACAGTTCTGGCGGGCGAAAGCGTTGGCAACAATGGTGGGATTGACGGTTCACCCTCCTCGTACGAGAAGTTGCGTATTCTTTTTAAGTTCTCCGACGTCGCGCCGAAGACTCAACGGGCTGTGTTGGCAAGTGAAATTCTGCGGCATGAGCAGCTGTCCTCCATGGTGACGCACCAAAAGGCTATAAATGCATTGGCACCGAAGATTCCATACGAGGCCAACAATGAACAGCGGCGTCTTCGTGAAAAATACCTCGCAGCAGCCACGTGATGTGCCTTGACTCTTTACACGAGAAACGAAAGAAAGAGGAAAAAATAATTACATGACACGATGCATACGGAAACACATGCAAATATCGAGAGATAAAGGGGGGGAGGTTTCAGTCAGTTCAATGCGCATTGACCGCATTGGTGTCAAGAATGAAGAAATGCGAGGTGACAGGTGGAGACCTGATTTTTTTTTTTTTTTTGTTTTCTTGAATGCTCTTCTAAGAGAGAAACGTAGCGATGTATATTACCTCCTCGTTTTGTTTTCCGTTTCTCCTTCTGTATGTGTATATGACCCCTTGTTGTCATTTTGGACAAGAGACAAGCAACCGAACGGAGATCCTTCAGAGGAACACAGAAAAAGGAAGGCTACCGGCAGAAACTACAGACATTTAAAGAGGAAGACGATGAAGAAACAAGCAGCAACATCAACAAAATATAAGGGAAAAGAGACTCTCTGAAACGAAGGGATGTTTACTAATTGTGTTGAACGGGGTCCCGTTGTGCGTGAACTCCGTGACATTCCGCTCCCCCCTCTCACTTGTTACCATGCGTGCGTGTGTGTGTGTGTGTGTAAAATATTCTTCCCCCTCTATCCTGTTTGATCCGAAGCCCACTGCAATTATACACACACGGCAGATATATACATTTTCTACAGATTAATAAAGGCAAATCCTTAGGGTGTGAAGAAGGTAGATAGTAAAGATATTGCCTCTTTTATCCTTTAACGAAAGAAAAGAGGTCTGTTTGTGTGTGTGTGTGTGTGTGTAAAAAATATACACTTAAATAACGAACAAGTGACTGAAAAGGGAGCGGAGGGTGGGAGGGTAAACTTTACCATTTCCTAATCATCGTGACTGGTGTTGCAAAATTCATGTGGAAACAGGATATTGGCCAATGGGTGGAAAGAAAGGGTCGTCGTGGTTGGGCTAAGCAGCCACAGGAACCGCAACAACAACAACAACAACCGCAACAACCCTCTGTGCCATTGTCTCCTGCAATGCGTGCTGGTTTTATCCCAGAAGGGTTTGAAGATCGGCATGAAAAAGTAACGTTTGTGCCCGAATCAGCAGAAAATGGAAGACATTTAGATGATAAGAATAATGAGGCTTTTTCTCATGCAGGGGAACGCTGGGTTGCGGTTTACGGTGTCTTACCAGGGAGTATTATGGATGTGCGAGAATTTCTTGACGTCATGTTTGGTCGGACCGTGGAACACTACTACCCCTTGGCGTATGCAACCTCCGGAAGTGACCTTACGCCCATCTTGGCGGGTGGCCAGAATTGGTTTTATGTAAAGTTTGAGGATCCCGTTTCAGCAGCTCGGGCCGTATATCAAAGTCCTCTGGCTATTTCTTTGGGTGATGGGCATAGAGCCACCACGATTGCGACAGACGCTGCTGCCTCTGTAACCACAACAGCTACTGCATTAAAAAAGAGTAGGGGTGGTGTTGGCTCTGCAACGAAGGAAGAGGTGGTTGGGGTGGCGTGGTGCACCGATGCAAGATTCCTGCGCAAGGAATGCGAAGCGGAACGGAGGCGAGGTGAGACGAAAACCTTTAGGGGAGTCTCTGGGGACAAAAACCATCAGGGTCCTCAGAGGAAGACAGATAACATTCAGAATGCGTTGGGTGTGACGCCGCGTGGAGCGGAACGTCTGCAACGGACACAGCCTCCTCTCTCTCATAGCGAGGGTGGAGGTGTGCGTCTACCATCACGTGGTTTTGGAAGTCTCCTGTACGACGTTCTGTGTTCTCCCTGGAATGGGCGATGGACTGCGACGCCGTCTCGCGAGCACGCCTCTTCACGCATGTGTGGTGGTAGCATGTCGTCTGTTTCTCCCTCTTCTTCGTCGCCACCCCGTCCGGAGGTGTTTGAAGGAGAACATGGAGGTGTTGATGGCAGGAGTTCCTCAAAGAGGAGGAGCGCTCCTAATGAGGGGGATATTAAGAGTGAAGATGAATGGAGGGCACCGGCCCCAACAAGGGATATCTCTCCCCCTTTATTTCTTTATTCACGTGGTGGTCGACATCATTATTACGACCCCGATCGTCAAATTCATAGTGCCTTGCCCGTTCGGCCACTTTGCGGCAATGAGTCGGTACTGAGCGTGTTTCGTGCCGATACCGCAGAGCGTCATATATTACGTCGAGTTGTTGTTTTCCTGGGACGTCTGCCTTACCGCATCTCCCGCCTCTTTGATTTTCCATCGTTGCGTCTTGAGAATTCTGAAGAAGTTTCAGCAGCTGCGGATGATAGTCAATGGTTATCCTTGTTTGGGGTATTTGGTGTGGATTGGCGCTACCAACAACGGCGTCAGCAACTGCTGCGCAACCGTCATTACAACGCCGCAGCCCGTTTTCTTTCTGCGAACATTGGCTACGGGGAGACACCCGTGATTGCCTCTTGGACGCCGTACCGCTGGTATGAGAGCACAACTGTGTTCTCTTTGTTCTGTTGCCTTTTTCTTTTTCTTGCCGTTTTCTTCTCAGGTCTCTGGAATGATGGCGTCTCCATCATTGATGTTGAATCCACGGGTCGTTGGGGCAACGACACCACTTCTCCTTCTGCTACTGGGGTCCAAGTCACGTCATACGATAGCAGAAAGCACGAGGCACCACGTTTGACAGCGGGGCAGTTGCAAGGCATCATGTTTGCAGATGGCATCTATGGCAGTGATAGATACACAGCACGGACGCTGTAAATTCTCTTGGGAATAAGAGGAGAAACAAGGAAGGGGAGAGGCTTAAGATAGAAAAGAGAATAATGGTAAAAAAAAAAAAAAAACTATTTGCAGAAAAGCAGTAAAAAATCAACAAGAAGAACAAAAAAGAAACTCATAATAATATATATATATATATTGTTGGTTTCTGTGTTGAAAGTTTTGAAGTACAAAATTTTCTTTTCTTTTTTCCTTTCTTGGATTCCGTGCTTATGCATGATCTTGTGTAGAATCATTCTTGCTTTCCCTTTTTTGTGTGTGTGTGTGTTTGTCTGTGTGGTTGAGGATGGGTAATGAGCACATGTAGGGGTTTATATGATCCCTTTATCGATCCAATTAGAGGCATAGAAAGCATAGAAAACAGTGGTGCAATGGAGCTCACGCAGTGCTCCCTATCACAGCTACCAGACCTTGTCGGTGCCACAGAACAGCTTGAGAGCGATGAGCTGAATACCCATGTTGTATCCACGGTGCGAGAATTGTTGTGTTGTCCCATATGTCACCGTCCCTTGGTGCACGATCCTGCCGTTGTGGACACATGTGGACATGCCTTCTGTTACGACTGCATTAACTTGGGGATTGAGAACGGCTGTGTTCCTGTTGCTTCCACAGTACAGGTGGAAGACAAAGAAGATGAAGGAAGGAAGGAGAAGAATGAGTTGAGTGTTGTTAGCGAAAAGGATCATCACACGTGTCTTTCCCGTCATGGAAGAAAGCAGCCACGTCGACGAACACGACAACGCAGGAGGAAGTTTACATGTCCGGTTTGCCTAGGGCCTGCGCACAAGTGGAATCTGGTGCGCGTGCGGTTCATTCAAGATGTGGTGACGGAGTTTTTGAGCCACGCCGCGCTTGCGGAGGCCTTCTCAACGGCTGAGGGAGAGAACGACGTCCCTTCTGAGGTGAGGACTGAAACCATTTGCGGCGACAAGAAGACGCCGCGGCGGAAGGAAAAAATTGCAAAAAAGCACGTGGAATTATGACGAGAGAATTGAATGGAGAAGCGGAAACAAGGAAAAGCAACACCTGGGGTTGGATTGACACTTTCTGTACGAATGCATGGACGTCGCCAGGGAATGAGAACTTGTTGTGTTCCTACTGGCAGTGCGGAGGAGGGGGCTCCACAAGGACGACGGTGGACGGAAGGGTGTGGAAATGGCACTTGCGCACTACCCAGCGACAGGTGAAGGGAACTGACATTGGGTCACAAACAAACACTGAGGCTGAGGTTTCAGCGCTCTATTTCCTTTTCTTTTTTCCTTTTTTTTTAAAGAAAAAAAGGTGAAGGAGAGAAGTTTGTTATTGTTGTTAATTGCTTCCGTGTGTGGGTGTGTGAGTGTGAGCGGGGGGCGAGTTTATGCGCATGCATGTAAAAGCGGCCCTGCGATGTGGAGAGGGGATGGTCAAACGACACCCATTTACATCTTGCCTATATTTACTCACGGTGGCATCGGTAGAAGGGGGGAGACTTCGGCTGTTTTATTCACTCTTTTCTTCGCCCTTATTTTCATTTTTTATTTTATTTTTTTTTTGCGCCTTGTAAGTAGTAAAGCGCCCGCGTTATTATTATTATTATTATTAATATTTTGTATGATGCCGCCAAAGAAGCGCGGGCAGAACACGCGGGGTCGGGACAAGATCTTCCGTAATGCCGTACAGCATGTGCATGTTGGCGTTGGTCACAGTGTGCTGGGGGACATCATTCTTCGCCCTGTGGCGGGTCTTGTGAGTCGTACCGGCGTTAAGGACGACGATAACAATGCGTACGAGGAGTGTGCGTTTTTGGTGGAGCTAAACGAGTTGATGCTCTCTCACTCCACGACGGATTTTAAACGATTTCGTTGGGAGGTGCTGGAGCTCTGTGAGTCCAAAGCACTATTCCGCCTCAACCACCGCAGAATTGCAGAAAAGCTCCTATTGTGTCTCATGCGACGTGACAAGTTTGCAGAAGGGTTTGAGGCGTTTGTGCGGCTGACGGTTGCCTTTGCGCGTGACATGCAGGAGAAGTTTTTGGCATACTTTGAATGTTTCCATCAGGCCATAAACGGTGGGATCCTGAACTCCAAGGGACAATTGATGGCGGACACCAGAAGACTGCAACTTATTTTTGCCGCGCAGGTCGCATGGTGTCGTGAGATGCGTCCCTTCTGGTTACTTAAGGGGCAGCGTAAACTTGTGGAACGCATCATTCGCCTGTACGTGCGGCAGATGCATGACAAGAAGGAGTACATAAGACGGCTGTCAGCGGAGGTGTTGGCGTCTGTCTGCCGCATGGTGAGGGATTTAGTACCACTTGTCGTGGAAGAGGCATGCCTAGATGTGGTACAGGACTTTGAGGCGTACTGTGCCAATTCCACGCTGGTAGAAGGAAGGGCGGCCTCCGAGGCGAATAATGACAATGGCGCAAAAGATGAGGAGGGGGTGGTGGAAGATGATGATGAAGATTACTTCGATGGGAAATCAGAGAAGGAGTTAAAGCCACGTCCCACCGTTATTTCCTCTTCACTCCTGCAGGCGTATGAGCAGAGTGGCCTTGTGGTGCTCCCCGTTGTGGACGGATTGTGTTTCCTCGCTGCAGAGATGTTTCGGGGCATCCGTGGGTCTCTTAGCACGAACTTTGAAAATCACTACGTGCTACTTGCTCACGTTTTTGGAATTTTGCGGCGTACGCAGTTTGCCGGCACATACTGTTCAGGGGGAGGAATGAACGAACAAGAAATGTTTGGCTTCACAGAAGAGGAGACAAAAAACTTCATTCATGCCTCCCGATGGACCGAAATGTTTATGGATGCCCGGGACGAAAAGGACATGAAGGGAGAAAGCCAGCAGGGTGAGGAGGAGGTGGTGGTGGTGAAGGAACTCGTTCAGATGATCGGTGGTGTAGTCATTGGCAGCGCCTTACGAATGATAGTGGAGGAGACAGTCACTTCCTCCTCTGCCGCTGGTAATGTTGCCGGTGACGAGGAAAGGGAAAACGAAGAGGAGAGGCAGGGAGTGCGGGCCTCGTCGCTTCAGATGCTCAGGGCGGTGACGGCACTGTTAGAGTTTTCACCGCCGCATGCACATTTGTTAGGGTCGCTTTTGCATGCGGCAGATTATAAACTTTTGCGCGACCCTTCGGCAACATCCACGCTTCGGAAAACTTCTGAAACGCTGCTGGAAAAGGCAAGGCAGCAAATCCAGACGGTTTCAAAGGAAATGACAGACACAAAGGCAATGAAATATGATGATTGGTGTCGTGTCATGCGGGCCTGTGGTGGTATATTGGAGGTGTTTACGCCATTATGTGTTGGCCCGACTGCTTTAACCTCCCATGCGAAGACGCTACAAGGCATTTTTTTGCCTCTCGCTCAGGAGATTTTAATGACGTGCCTTTCTATTTCTGCCCGCCACCACTACCACTACCAACACAAAAACAACAACAACAAAAACCATGCCGCTTGTGATGCTTCTGTGGGAGATTGGGATGTTTTACGAAGATCAACGAAACGAATGTTGTTTGCTTTTATGCAAGATGTGCTACAGAAAAACTATACGTTTTTTCTACGAGACGAACGTCGGTTAATTGAGGGAGAAAAAGACCCAAGTGGCGAAGGGCACATGATGGTGACATCGTACTTATCACCATTTGCGTTATCCCTTTTGGTCCCTGTACTCCATAGTGCATGTGTGGATGCGAATGTAGCACTAGATCGTGTCCGCAACAAAGACAAGACCCTAAAAAACGATACATGCGTCTCGGTGATGCGTGAAGTAACACATGCGGTGATGATGGCTCGCATGATGTGTGATCGGACGACACATCTGGTGAAAAGCCCTCTGTACTCAGCATTGACGACCAACATTTCCCCATCCACTTTTATTCCACTTGCTGCATCTTCTACCTTCTCGGAAGCTGCCATCTCTTCCTTGATAAATCGAGATGCCTTAACTGCAAGTCTACAGAACTTCTTGCATGGTGTCTTGTTGGTCTTCGCAAACGCACAGGAAGGTACGGACGAGAAATCAAAGACGGATGCATCGAAATGGGCCGATGTAGTGTCGGCGATTCTTCCGCTGGTCTTGACAGTGGTTGATGCCGAGGAAGCCATGAAACGTATGCCGGGTAAGAATAGTACCGCCGACAGTGGAAAAAAACCCTTTGTGTGGATATTTCGAGATGCCCTACTGCGAGCTATAAGAGGTGTCAAGAGCATCATCGTTGGTAATAAGAGTAATAATAAGAATAACGAGAAGAAGAAAAAAAAAGAAGAAGGACAAAAATTAACACCACTGACACGACTTACAGCCGCTTCCTATTCCTTGTTTGCACAGGCGTCAACCTTGTTGGTGCAACTGGACACATTAACAGGTGAACTGGACTCAAAGAACATGCAAGTGGAGTGTGTAGGATTTCTAAAGGATGCCGTCATAGTTCTTGCCGCGAGCTTCCAAAACAGGCATGTGAAGGAACTGAATGACGAGGAGACAGGGCGACTTCTTCATGGAATGGAATGCCTGTTGTTTTCACTACTGCGTCTCTTTGGGGTTGAGCTTGAACTTGAGCGTGACGCAGAGGTCACAGTTGTCTCCTCAAAGAAGGCCCGCGTCAAGGGCTCAACAGACACAGGAGAGCGAACATTACTGACGGCCACATCGCGTCTTCATGGGGCAATTGACATGGCGACTCAACGGGCGCTTGTAGAGACTCTACTTCTCGAGGCCCTTGCGTCTCCGGTTCATTCACTGCGTGTTGTCGCTATTCGATTGCTGCGGTTGCTCTGCCACCCAAGCGTGTCGGAGGCGGAGCGTACTGCGGGTTGTTGTGCCATTGACACCTCCTTTTTTGATGCTCTACTGAGTGCGGAGCTCTTTGATCCCTTGTCTGCTGCAGGCAACCTGGACGGTGTGCGTCAGGCGCTGGCGAAGTTGACATTTGAGGTGGCCGCGGGCACACTGCGGAATCCAATCCAACGTGTGATTTTGGCACATGCAATGGTTGGTCTGCTACACACTCGGTTTGCGGAAGCACATCCAATCGCGTTGAAAATGCTTGCAGATCTTGTGCGCATGGAGAACACATCTGCTCCGGTGCTAAAACGACAAAAAAGATGCGATTTGGGAATTTCAGGGGAAAGTAACCATTCTTCTGTCGGCAACACTTTATCTCCTACCTCGGAAGCCGCATCATCTTCATCTTCGTTGGCGAAAAAAATGGAACCGCTTGTTTGGCGAGGAGTTATATGCCGGTACGCCCGTGCGGTGGTGTTTGGGGACATTCTGCGCAGGGCGGCAGCGGAGGATTTCAATGACGAGGAGGATGAAGAAGACGAAGACGCTGGTGGTGGTGGTAGCACACATGCACGTGGAAGGACCAATGTGTGGTACCGTATTTGTCTCACAGATATGCAGCGCCATGAGAAGGGCGAACTTGTGAGCAAAGAATTTGCTACAGCCCGTTTTACTTTCTCCACGGTTGCGCTGCTGCAGCTGGCCAATACCGACGGCGAGGTGCTGTCGTGGCGGCGTCATTACTTACCCTCTGCGTCACCGACACACACGCACGGGGCAATTACCGCACGCGCCACTGACCGCGCAGTGTTGGCCAAGACATTTTTGTCCGGGCTTTCGGAGATGACACGCGGGGCGGTTGGCGACGAGCGGGTGTCGCTCGCAGCGGAGTTGGTGCTTGAGTTGTCTGCTGTACGCCGTGGCGAGCACCCTGATGGGTTGCGGCAACTTAAAATGTTGGATGACCGCCTTGTGTTAGCGATGAACGCCTGTCATGTGACGCCCGTGTCGTCTTTGAATGAACACTTCCCGGCGCATATCCGGTCACGTCTCATCAGACAAAATGAGCAACTACAAACGATGTGCATTGGACTTCTTTCAGACTCAAACACCAAGCTGCAGCGCGCTGCCATCGATCTGCTCCAGCGACTTAAGGTTCTTCCCTTCTCGAGTCATCATGCCCAATTGATTCCCTACTGTGACACGCAGAAAAATCTCTTTCATTTTCTGTCCACATTCCACATTGAGACGGATATTCCAGAGGAGGATAAGGCAGATTACATTGCCACCGCCATCGCCATTGTGCTGCCAAAGCTTACGGCAAAGTTGTCAAAGGAAAAGTTAAAGGACCAGGCTATTCTTCAGCGTCGGATACTGTCCATGGTGACACATCTCTCAGCGACCGGGGAATTTGCACAAGTTCTGGAAGGAATAGTGCAGAGACTTATCTTTGAACGTGTCATATCCAGTGGGAATATGAATTCAGCCGCAGTGCAATTCCCAGAGATGTGGGCGGAGTGGGTGGAAAGCAACAGTCACTGCGCACGACGTTTGGAACGTCTTGTGAAGCAGTTGTTGAACACGATGCAGTTACTACATGCGCTACTGCAGTCTGTTGGTAAAGGTTTTGAGTCTTTTGCGGGGTCATGCATGTACCTTTCCCTCAATGCCTACCTTGTTGGCTGTAAGCAAATCCTCCAGGCACCGTTAGGCGAAGACACGATGTGTGAAACCGAGAAATATTGGCGTATACGTAACGCATTGTCTTCATCGACTCTAAACACATTTCTTCCAAAGTTGCGTCGCACAGCTGCAGGAATGGTATCATCTCTTTTTGAACAATTTCCCTCAGAAGTAATGATGGCACTGCGGAAGGATCTTGTTGAGGTTTCAGGTGGAGATGTGGCTCAAAGTCTCATAAGTCGATATGTCTCCATGTTACATGAGAATAGCAATGGTGTCATATCCGAGTTTAAGAGCACCCAACGTGCTGGGGACGGTCATAAGACGGGAGTTACACCGTTGCTGCGGCTTGTACGTGCATGGGTTGAATCACCCTTCACCATGCCGTTGATTGGAGCCTTTGGTGATACCGTAACGGCCATGTTTATGCAAGTCTTTGGATGCAATGCGATGAGTCACACCATGAAGAGTTCTTCCACAAATATCGTGACTGTGTCTTCCTCTGTGTCCACCAGCTTGTCTCTGCAACAGGCATCGACACTCTCAATTTATGAGGGACTGCGTTGTGTGGGCATCATCCTTGCGTCTAGTGATGAATCTTTTGATGTCTTTGGTGCTCCTGGCTCTACTACTTTGCAGAATGCATACATTAAACCGTATGTGACGACAATTTTCGGCTCTCTCTATCGGTTAATTGTGTGGGGTGCCTCTTCTTCGACTCTCTCGCAATCGTCCTTTGGCGATGACCGCTTGGGTGCAACTCAAAAGAAGCGGAGGTCGTCCTCCGTCATGACATTTAGCGTGCCCATGTGGAAAGAGATGATCGCGACGGTCACAATGCTTTCCGAATACGTGGTTGTACCAGATACGACGGAAGATGAAAACCCCGAGGAATGTGTGGATGCCATGCTCTCTCGACTTTTAGAGATGTGCATTGCCTTTGTGGCTCACCCCGCCTCTGCCAAGGATCGACAGACGTGCATTACGGCTGCCAACATGTTGGAGGGTTTGTTGCCCCGCATGCGGCATGTGGGCGTCGTCGAGCACTTTGAGCCGCTTGTACGTTTATTTAACGTTGTGACATGCCCAGAGGCGCGTTTGGCATTATGCCGCGCTCTATCGATGGTGCTTTCACGGTTGGTGTGTCCTGCATACTTCCATCTCCATGCAGACAAGGTGAAGCGGGGTTCTGCGGCTCACATGGCACAAATGGCTGCTGTGGGGCGTGCCGTGACGTGTCTCAACGCCTTCGCGGAAGACAATACGGATTTGGGGCGGTACGACTTTGAACTGCGGTTTCACACTTTCCGCTCCTTGCGGCAGTTTTTTGCGCATAACGGAAACTACGGAGCTCTTCTCGCAAAACACCAGCGCACAGGAGAGGGGTTATCGTCTAATTTTTCCCCAAGAATCGAGAAACAAGTGCGGTATGAAAGGGAGTACAGTGGCGCCACAGATGTCACGATTCCTTTAGACAAGGCGGAGGCTCCTGTGTTGTGTGTAGAGGCCGTTTTTGCACTGGCGGCGAATGTGATGTTTTTTCTGCGTGATCCAGAGGGGACGATACGTGTGTTAGCAGCCCAATTGCTGGACGCGATGATTTTGTATGCATCACGACAGAAGGATATCGCAACGTCATATGACACAATGATTCTTGAGCATGTGATTCGACGGGAGATATTGCCTTCTCTGCGCCGCGGCATCACATCTCGCGATGTACACATCCGCCATGCACATATGCAAAGTTTTAGCGCCTTGGCGCGGTATTACCCTCAGTCCTTTTCTTCATTTGCCGCACTGCACTCAAGAAATGTGGAGCGGTGTTTTTTTGCAAATGTGGGTCACGTTCAGCATCGGTGTCGTGTGAAGGCGTTGGAGTTGTTGCGGCAAAATGTGGGACGTCTTCTACCTCGGGATCTTCTTCGTGTCTTTGTGCCGTTTCTTCTTGTGGCGGTGAAGGACTTTGCGCAGGGAAAGTGGGATCTACAGAACCTCACGGAGGGACGTGCAAAGGGTTACTGCGATGCCGTGTTGACAACCGTGGCGACTTTGGCCGCGGCTTTGCCATGGGAGGGGTATTATCGCGTGCTGAGTCTGTTTATGCAGAATGCCCGTGAGAGTGCCTCCTTGCGACTGCCGATGCTTCGTGGTGTGGTGATGATGCTTGATCACTTCCACTTTTTGAACGACGGTGAAACTGATGGTAATAATAATAATAATAATAATAATAATAATAATAATAATAATAATAATAATAATAATAATAATAATAATAATAATAATAATAATAATAATAATAATAGCGGGATTAAGGGTGGGAAAAAGGGGCAGGTGCGGGATGCAGACATTACCCGCCCGGACACGGATGCCTCTGCTGATGCAGATGACGACGAGGAGGACGAGGACGAGGACGAGGCCGCAGCAGCTCTCCATGCAAAGCGTATTAAGTACCGTCACGCGCATGTCATTCATGTTCTGGAAGACGATATCCTTCCACAATTGTATGAGTTCTTGGGTAACGACTCGCGCAAGGCTCACCCTATTGACACTGAACTTCGTGGGAATGTGCACACCATTGCGAGTGTGCGTCATGAGATGCGGAAGGCGGACAATGCCCAACAGAAAACGGCAATTCTGCAGCTACCTGTGGCCATCGCCATTACAAAAATTGTGAAGCGCTTCCCACCGGAGCGTTTTTCTCTGCATGTGGAGCATCTCCTTGATGAAGTGATATTAAAACTGCGAACGAAGAGCGATAAGCACCGAGAAAGCGCGCGAAAAATTCTCAGCGCAATGTTGTGTGAAACAGGACCCGGTAAACTTGCGTTTGTCATCACGAAACTGCGGGATCACCTTGTGCACGGCTACCAGCTGCATGTGCTTGGCTACACGGTCGTGACACTTCTGTACAACCTCTATGAACCTCAGCATGCCATGTCATACAGGCGGAAGAAACATGTGATGGGCGCGGAAGGTGCGGCAGCAGCAGCAGCAATTGCAGCGAAGGGGACGCCGATGGAGCATGCGGGTGCCGCTTTCCATCAGGGTGATAATGATAATGATAATGATGATGACAAAGAAAAGGTTGAGCAGCAGTCACAGACAGAAGCGCGGCAAAAAGAAACCACACGGGAAGAAGAAGAGGATGCGGAAGCAGAGGAGGAAGAAGAAGATCTGGTCCGTCAATTGATCCCTGCTTCCAACAAGTTTGATTGGGCATACGGAGTGGAATGCCTGACGTCGTGCTTGGATAATCTGATGAGTATTTTCCTGGACGACTACCTCGGTGAAGTGGGGGAACAGAAGGAACAGGTGGAGCTCATGAGCACAATGGTAGAAGTGAAGCGGAATCGTGCCCTGCAGGGATTTACTCTCATTGCCTCCCATTGCGAGGCAAGCCGTGTGATTGAGGTCTTCTTAGAGAAGATTACATGGCTTTTGACGCCCCCAAGCATGGCGGATACGGTGGATGTAAGTACCCTGCGTGGGAGTGCTCGTGCCGCCGCCCTGTTATTGCAGGAACTAAAGACAAAGTACAGCACCGTCAGCAAGAACGCCGCCGCCGATTTTGTTTTTGTTCAAAAGGTTCGACTTTTGGCCGTCCGTTTCGCGCGTGCCCTCATAAAAAATGCGACAATGGAAGTGGAGTCTTCCTTCCTCACCGTGCGAGATTTACTGCGTCGTCACAATGAAGTGCGTGAGGAGAAAAT